AGTATTTCATGGACATCATAACGTGCATCTCTCATTTTTCTTCTTTTGCTTCGCCTATAAGCTGCATTTTATTTGGACCATAGATATGATCGCACCCATGAAACATGACACATATTTTCAGCCTGTTTTTAAATTATTTGTTGATTATTCTGGTATGGCCTAAGATATTGGTCTCCTCTGAGCATTAACCTCTTCTTCTTCTTCTTCTTTTTTATTCTTCGGATTGGATTACTTGTTGGAATTTTATAACGTTAACCATCTTGACCACGCTTTATGTTTCTTTGGAGGTGATGAAAGGAGAAAAGTCAATTATTTGGAAAATTAAGGGGGGGACCGTTTCTTGTGTTGTAACATTGCGGGACAAGAGTTAGGCCAAGTGGATTTTTACTCCAATTTTTAAGCATGAGTAAAACCTAATTCGTTGAATATTTTTTTGAGAGAATAAGTTAGGGTTGGAATGAGGATGAGTCAAACATGCTTTGGCATGCCTTCTTATTATGTCCAAGACCAAGTCCTTGCATTGGGTAGTTGTTGATTGGTCGATAATGTCCATAAAATCTGTTTCCATAAATATCTTCTTCTTTTTTTAACCTTTCCTGTTGTACTTGGCGATAATACACTAAATTCACATGCACAACACGAATATTAAGACTCGAATCCAGAACCTTACATAAGGGAGAAATTAATCCAAACCACTACACTAGTGAGTTCTTTACATCAATGTCTAATATTTATTTAACCCTTTCTCTCTCTTTTTTAGATTGATCCATTTTAAATATCCTCTAAATATTATAATTGATAATATTATCTAAATTATGTGAAATTAAATTATTATCTGTCACAATAATAAACTTCCTATTAAGTTTAAACCAAAGTTCCCAAAAGAATAACAACATAACTACTCTCTTAAAGAAAATAATTCCAATAATACAACAGCCACAAAGTATAGACATTTGATTATCTGAAATTAAAAATAATTGAAAATGTGCAAGAAGAAATAACTCATGTATATTCTAACCAATATATTTTATTTTTACAATGTGACACTTGGTTCATCACAATCCACTACTATAGGATATTTAAACCACCACATGCTCTTCAGCCCAATCCTATTAAACCGGCTTCAAAGGGCGAGATCTCTAAGAAATCATATTAATCTAAAATTTCTTACTTTATTTTTTTTTAGTATAATTGATAGTCTAAATTATAGGGGAGAGAGATTTCTTACACCTATACACAACTATGATACCTTGGGGATTCGAACATGAAATTTTTAATCTGCAAGTCAATGTTTTTTTTCATTAGATTAGACCCTATTCGCAAACTTTCATACTTTTGAATGTGAAACATGGGAATATCATAGCATAATGTTTGTGCAACAAAAGAAAATGGAGAGAAATTTCCAACGGTCGACATTAATGTTGAAATAAAATTATAATAAAAGGACTCACTATCTTTTTTAAGTAGTATTTTTTTTTTAATTTATAAGATTACAATTTTTTTTGCCCTACGTGGAGTCACCATAAGCGGGAAAAGTGGGACTTCTCTTTTCATATGTAAGCATTTAACAAACTCAATAAAGGTTTGATTAATAAATGTGCTGATGTAGGTTTTCCGTTAATTTATATATGAGTTTGTAGGTCTTTGAAGATTGTGTGTCAAAATTGACCCTAAAGTTTCAGGGTTTAATTTACTTAACCAAAAATATATATTATATAAAACGGAAAATGAATTTTCCATTTTTACTTCAAACTACGATAATTTCATCTACTTTCTGAGCTGGAATTGTGAAACTTGTAGAAACCACATCTATATCTATTCCAAAAATGAACCTACATCTAGATATATGCTAAAGTAAGTTTTTCCCATCTCATAATAATGACAAATAAATGAGAATTTCATCCAATTTAACAAGTGGGATGCTAGACCTAGTGCATATATAGGACAATTACCAAAAGAAATTTGCGAAAAGATATACTCAATCACACAACTACAATACTATAATAGATCAAACAACTTCAAAGGCTGAAATCCTTTTGTGGGAAGGTAGGTATATGGAGCAAACGAAGATTTATGGTATTATTGACAAGTCATATCGATCCACTAGAGATATGCTCCGGAGCATTTTCGCTCATCACTTTAATTAATGTGTACTCTCATTACTATTCTCAACACTTAATATGTGCGCATTGACATAACCATGGTTCCATAAATATAAAGCAAAGAGTTAACTATGATTATGTCAATAGAAACATGTCAAATGTTGAGAATGATGGTAAGATTACACCTTGGATTAAAGTAATGAGCAAAAATATTTCCCTTTTCCTAATGTTTTTTCATCGAATTATTCTTAAAAATTTCCTTAATTTCTCTCTACGAACCAACATCTCTCCATCTATTGATTTGCTCCATAAGTTAATGTACTTTAAAGTAATTCTAGAACGCGTTCTTTCTATTCCTTTGTATACAATTTTTTTTTTTCTCTTTTCCATCTCCCATGTCATAATTTAAAAGAGAAATAAGCAAAATCTCATAAAATAAAAACGTTCTCAAACAAACAATATTACGTTTTCCATGGCTTGCCTTCAGCCATGTCAACGACTTCTCCATGGCTGAAGAAGTCCCACTCTCTGCTCTTTGAAAAGCCATTCTACGCACATATATATTTTCCTTTATTTTTCATAACTTGGTTTGCAATGGGTGACTTGAGTTTTTAATCCTTTTTAAGGAGAATCATTATCATATATTAACACCTTACCTCAATTGAGACGAAACACTATATATATGTATAACGCTCACCCCGTATTGTATTTCATTAATCCAAACAGTTTAGAAGTCATCACCCAAATTGCCATTTGAATGAGTTAATGTGCGTCATCATATTCATATGCTATTTCTTTCAGGACAATTATAATGGCTATGATGGTGCTCTAAAGTTGAAAAGAGCCACTTCATATTCTGATTGGCATTTAGCTGAAGGATGGTGCTCTACACGCAATCTGGCCATCACAAGGCTCTCTTTCTAAGTTTCTCTTTCTGGATATTGTTGCATGCACAAGTATTATCCGAATTTAGGTATTGAAATCTCAAAAGCCTAATTTAATTAGTGCTGGAAATTGATACATTTTTGCTTTTGTTTTGGTCTTTTCACTGAATAAGTATTAAGTACCTTTCGTGAGAGCAACAGATTATGAATTTTTCTTATTTTCTTGTTGTTGTTTAACCCTTGAAATAAACTATAATTGCGAAGTTGTCTTTTCCTTTTGCCTCAAATTTATCATTATTCCGACATAATTGTGTGTCACTTTATATTCTTCTTGTTCTTATTGGCTCATTCAGTGTAAGCATTGTTCCATGAAAAGTGACATGTTCCAAGTCAATTCCATATATGTGCATATAGATCTTTCCGTGCTTTTTTTTTTCTTGTGTATTTATTTAAACCGCTCATTGATTATGGTGTAAATACTATTATTTTTTTATATATGATAGGTTTAGTCCATTGATTTGTAAGTCAAGGCTCTTCTTTATTGGGCTAGACGTCTCGTTGGCATGTAAATACCAAATATTAAGCTACAAGAGACTCCAAATTATCAAATAGTGTTTAAGCTCTAAATAATACTACTTATATTAATTATTATGGTGTAGCCGGCTGAAAAGTCCGACCATAAACCTTCACACATGCCTACACACACAACACTTACCAAACACTGCCTAGGCTCTTAGTACCACTTAATATATATGGTGCAGCCCTAAAAGTCCAACCATGTACGTGCCTACACACATAGGGCACTAATAGATTCTCCCTGTTTTTGCCCATCAATCTGCCAGTCATGAATGAGATTTTTACTAAAAGGTAGATCGACATAACTATAATTCGATCTCCTTATTTATATACCAATTGATGACTCTTACTTATTTGAACATATAAATACATATTTTTAAGACAATTTCTTGTTAAAAACTGATTTAGTTATTCGAAACGTCAATTTTCAAATGAACCTTTGTGAGGATTATCCCAAAAAAAAAATAAGTTAAACTAGAAATCATTCAGCATAAAAACATGTACTTGATGTCACGATGACAACCTTGTAACTCTTAAAAATGAAAAATATTCCATAGGATTCCCTTGATGTCATTGTAAATTAATCATTAAAAAATACTAATTAATCTAATCTAAATGTCCACATATGATTATCTGGGTTTAACTATACTCAAAAGATTTAATTTAATCATTCCCAAAAGATAGCGAAGAAAACAATGTCGTTGTAATGCAACTGTCATGACGTACAAAAAATGCAAAGAGCTCACCTACCCCTAATTAACCCATATTAAAATCTTACCACAAGCCTACCCTAAGCAGACATTGATAACAAGTAGAAATCAAAACCCTCTCCCAACCCAACAAAAAAAAAAAATTAAGAATCATTAAGGTCGTGTTCACGTGATTGCTGCCCCATAATACATCATTATCTTAATCAAACTCTTAATTAATCAAATAATAATACCAATTAAAATTCAACAACAAATTTTCTCTCCCCAATCTCCAACACCAATTGCCATTGCTTTTTGGCCGTCGTCTCTCTCTCCCTCTCTCTCTCTCTCTCTCTCTCAATATACTTAGCCGGCTGCTAATAGTTTGCAAACAAGCAAACAAGCTCACTAAAAAAAAGGCCGCGTGGTCCAGCTGACGAGTAGGCCCAGACAAAACCCTTTGCTGAGCTGGAATAGTCAATGGGCCCCACCTGTCGGCCTCCATAGAGCTAATCGACGTGTAGTGGGCCCACCTGCCCCCTCTCGACCCAACACTCTCTCAGACAAAAATATTTCCAATGTCCGCTGTGACCAACTAGGATCCGTCAGCGTCCGTCCAAGAAGCAATTGGTCCGGCTGTCCACGTGGCATCCAGTGGCGTGGAACGTGACGTGGCACCAAAAAACAAACCAAGCACGAGCTCCCTATATAAACCCTCCAAAGCGCCACACCTCTGACCACATCCATCACATTTCCTTTCTCTCGTTTCATTTCTTTTAAGCTTTGCTTTTGTGTTGTAACATTTCGCCAGATCAAATCAATCATGGCCATCGATTCAGTGACATCGTCCCCGCCGGCCCCACCTGCCAGTGAGAAGGACGCCAAGGCCCTTCAGTTCATAGAGGAGACGACCAGGAACACGGACTCCCTGCAGGAGAGGGTTCTGAGTGAGATACTCAGTCGCAACGCAGAGACCGAGTACCTTAAGCGGTTCGGCCTCCGCGGTGCCACCGATCGGGACACGTTCAAGTCCAAGGTCCCAGTTGTTACATACGAGGATCTGCAGCCGGAGATCCAACGTATCGCTAATGGTGACCGCTCACTCATCCTGAGCTCTCATCCCATCTCTGAGTTCCTCACCAGGTAATTATAAACATACCATATATTTAAGTGTTTTTTTTCCCTCTTTCTCGTAATAAGTTTGTTAGGAATTTTTTTTAGTACGGTAGAATAATTAATGGTTTTTATTTTCATGCAGTTCTGGGACTTCTGCTGGTGAAAGAAAACTAATGCCTACAATTCATGAAGAGTTGGACCGTCGTACGCTGCTATACAGCTTGCTTATGCCAGTGATGAACCTGTAAACTTTTCTTCATTCCTAATTTCTCTACTTTTCTTTTCTTTTCTTTTTTTGTTATAAAGAAAATCCAACTTGAGATCTGCTTCACTTGTCACTTGAACTAAGACTCGCTTTTATTTTTCACAAAGTGATTAGTTATTTTATTTTGGGTTCATTAATTAATGCGATTTACTACTTTCTGATGAGTTTGAATTGTGTTTTAATGTGACAGTTATGTCCCGGACCTGGACAAGGGCAAGGGGCTCTACTTCTTGTTCGTGAAGGCAGAGAGCAGGACTCCGGGAGGGCTCGTGGCACGTCCGGTATTGACAAGCTACTACAAGAGTGAGCACTTCAAGACCAGGCCATATGACCCCTACAACGACTACACCAGCCCCAACGAGGCCATCCTCTGCCCAGACTCATTCCAGAGCATGTACACCCAAATGGTTTGTGGCCTCGTCATGCGCCACCAAGTGCTCCGAGTAGGTGCGGTGTTTGCCTCCGGCTTACTCAGAGCAATTCGGTTCCTGCAATTGAACTGGCGCCAATTAGCCCATGACATCCACAATGGTACCTTAAACCCTAAAATCACCGACCCTTCTCTCCGCGAATCCTTGTCCGGGACATTAAAGCCAGATCCGGAGCTGTCCAGTTTCATCACAAAGGAGTGTTGTGAAGAAAATTGGGAAGGCATAATCCCAAGGATTTGGCCAAACACAAAGTACCTGGATGTGATCGTCACCGGTGCAATGGCTCAGTACATCCCCACCCTCGATTACTACAGCAATGGCTTGCCGTTGGCCTGCACTATGTACGCCTCCTCCGAATGTTACTTTGGGCTTAACCTCAAGCCAATGTGTAAGCCTTCTGAGGTATCTTACACAATTATGCCAAACATGGCCTACTTCGAGTTCATCCCGCACGACCCTTCCGCTCCTCCTCTGTCCAAACACTCCCCTCCCCGCCTCGTCGACCTTGCTGACGTGGAAGTCGGGAAGGAGTACGAGCTGGTGATAACAACCTACGCCGGATTGTGCCGTTACAGAGTGGGTGACATTCTTGAGGTCACCGGCTTCCACAACGCCGCGCCTCAGTTTAGGTTTGTGAGGAGGAAGAACGTCTTGTTGAGCATTGACTCGGACAAGACCGATGAGGCTGAGCTGCAGAAAGCCATCGACAACGCGTCGGTATTGCTGAGAGAGTTCAACACGAGCGTGGTTGAGTACACGAGCTTTGCTGACACCAAGACAATCCCAGGACATTATGTGATTTACTGGGAGTTGCTTGTGAAGGACCCGGCGAATAATTCCCCGAGTCACGAGGTTCTGGACAAGTGTTGTCTGGCCATGGAAGAGTCGTTGAACTCGGTGTACAGACAAGGCAGAGTGGCTGACAATTCAATTGGACCACTTGAGATAAGGGTGGTGAAAAACGGGACATTTGAGGAACTCATGGACTATGCAATCTCTAGAGGTGCGTCTATCAACCAGTACAAGGCACCAAGGTGCGTAAACTTCTCACCCATCATGGAACTCCTGGACTCAAGAGTCGTCTCGGTGCACTTTAGCCCAAGTGCACCGCACTGGACCCCAGAGCGACGTCGTTAAGTGCAGTAGTACTACATAAGTACAAATGGGGAAGAAGAAAAAATTTATAAAAGGAGAGGGCCCCTTTCTCTTTTGTTGATCATCCTAGCTATAGCTTTTAAAAGTGTCTTTTCTTTGGGTGGTTTTCTTTGTTTTAAATCCAAGTGGATCTGCGTCTGTGCAATAAGTTCTAAGTAATTCTGCGGCATCTATGTGCGATATGTAATTGTCACTGATATATAGATATGTTTGTTCGTTTGTCCACCGTATCGTTTGTCTCTTTGCTTTCGATTCTCAGCTTTCTTGAAGTTGAGGGACGAGACGTTGCAGGGAGTCGTAATGCTCTCCTGTTTTTATATATCTGCCAACAATTTGTACAAATGTGTTGATGTAATGTTGTGATCATGTGTGTGTAATTGTTTATTTTAATTTAAGTGTGTGGGATTTACTTGCATGGATTTTAGTGCACGTGCTAACTATTCCTCTGCGTTAACTCGATCTTGATATAATTAGGTGGGGATTATGTAAGTTACAAGTTAATATGACAGTGATTAACAACTAGGTTTCTCTTTTGTTTGGGAGCATATCACGAGCACTTTCACATATGGATGCTAAATTAAAGGTGTGGGCCGATGTTTAACATTGTGGGTGTGGCAGCCATACGATTTTATACTCTACTTAGGGGAAATTACATCAATCTCCCCAACCTCTAACCCTTACCCTCCCTAATGGTTAATTAAGGACAAAATTAATCTCATATTTCTGAGAGATCAAACTAATTTAAGTATTGGTTTTCACTTGTGTTCTTCCAAATCATAGCAATCCTATTCTAGCATAAAAGCCATATATCACGGCACCCCAATATCACCACGTTTTTCTTATTCGAAAAACAAAAGATATCACCAAGTTTTTCGATCAAAAACATAAAATATCATCAAGTTTTGTCCAACATTGAACAATGTCAACCAAAAATCTAATTAATCAAGGTTAACATATAACTCGCTCCACTTAAATATTAATAAGCATGCAACTTGCCTATGAAATCAAGGCCAAAATAGTGCATTAACAAAAGAATAGACATGCAACTTGTATATGATCATAAAATCGAGTACTTAAGTTGTGTCCTCCAGCTACAATGATGGAGACTTGTATCCCCTCTAGCTAATGTATACTCGCAAGCAAGCATGGCAAGATCGATGCCGCTCAATTATTTGTCAATGATCGTGTTCTGTTGGAAATGATTCAAACTAAAATACTAAATAGAAAATTAGATATTAACCCAACCTCAAGTTCTGATGCTTGAACTATTTTGAATGTGTTGATTCTTTCCAGAAATATAAATAGAGATTAATCCGGATCCAATTAGTAAAAACTGGTTAAATGTAGATCTACAGTTATTGAATTAAATGAATTCTAGTTCATTTATTGGTATGATAAAACCATTTATACCCTGCACCCCGAGGTCTTAATTTCGATTCCCCCTCTCCTAATATCACTTATATTGATGTGGCAATGCTTAATTAGTTGTTCATCGCCACAATTAATTTCAAAGTTCAAACCCCATTTATTTCTATTAGAAAAAAGGACATTGTCATGTGCATCATTAGTAATTAACACTTAACAAAATCCTATCGCTATTCTCTCAAAAAAAAAAAAACAAACAAACAAACGTTATTTCTGATCTTCTATTATTCTATATTTTGGAGTTTCTTATTTAAGCATCTTGAGAAGAGTTTGATGTAATTAATTTGTCTACGCCCATGCTGATTATTTAAGCATCTTGAGAAGACTCTATCTTGTGTTTTTTTTTTTCCTTATTTAACTCCAATAATCTTTGAGAAGCGTTCTCACGTCTCTTAGTCAGATTGGACAAATATATTGTCATGATTTATCCAACATGAACTAGATGTGGCTTTGCTTGATTGATTTGAACTTTGACAAAGATACATGAGGGTCGGACTATAATGTCATGAGGGTAGAAGAAGGGTGAGGTGATCGAGAGAGAGAGAGGATAAATTTGTTAATTACTATTTTGACTTCTCATTAGTTGATGAAAGACTTCTTACTTATGAAAGTTAAACATGCTTGCTTTTGCGTCTAAGTATACCTAACCACATTATATTTAATTCATTCTGTCTAATCTAATTAAAAAAGTATTCTCCATGTTTCGCAGGGTATCACTTCAGAGTTTCATGTACTTGTTTGGAAGCACATCGCAGGGCCTTTAGCCAGTGGATTATGGCGGGGGTGACTTTGTGGCAGGCCATGACAGCCTTGTTGTTTAGATTTCAGTTTCATGTACACTTACTTCTTATCATTATTTAACAACGAATATTGGTCAAGTATTATGTCCGTTAATAATTTTTACATCATTAATAAAGCAAAAAGTTATATAGCTATCCACACCTCTCTCTCTTAAAGCGATTGGCAATGGCATTGGGCTTCTATATAATATAAGAGCATCTCCAGCGCAGGTCGGGCTAGGGGGGAAAGGCTGCCCGACGCAGCCCGAGTTCACTCCAGCGCAGGGCCCGTAGCCCGGTTTGGTGG